GATACATTATAACCACCCAGATGGGAAAAAAATGCTAAAAATAATGGAATCATTATTAATAGAAGATCCAACACTCAATGACATCAACTATGAACATGGCCATAATTTGCTGAGCGTGTTTGCAAAATAAAACATTTTTATAAATCTAGATACATAATAGCTTCATCTACATGTAAAAATGGGCTAAAAATAAGGCAAACATTATTGATAAACAAACCAACACTCAATAACATCAACTATGAACACGGCCACGATATGCTGACCGTGTTTGTAAAATAAAACATCACTATAACTTTAGGTACATAATAGACTCTCTCTCTCTCCCTCTCTCTCTCTCACACACACACACACACACACACACACACACACACACATATATATATCCCGTGGAAGCCTGATGAGCGGGAGTGAAACCGGTTGCATCCCCCCCTTGTTGTTGAGTTTTTTTTTTATTATTTAATATTGTTTAATATGTCTTGTAATATTAAATTTTACACTTTTATTTCGATCATTAAATTTTGTACCTACAAAAATATCTTTATATATATATATATATATATATATATATATATATATATATTGTATTTAGGCAGCAATCCGTCTTTTATAGAAGTTTTCTTCATAAAGACACTTTCTTTTCTGGAATAAAGTCTATAAAATCTGTATATCCGGGATATCTGCTATTCTATTAGCTATTATCAAGTATTCGTGTTTTTAAATTTAACTGAATGTGTAGATTTTTATATATTTATGTTACGAAAGAACTTTAAAACATACTTATGGAAAATAGGGCCATAATAGTTTCATCCATACTTTAAAAAAATTGACGAATAAAAGGGAACATTAATAAGTAAAAAGAAAAAGCAGCATACAATAAAATGAACACTGAACACAGCCACAATATGTCAATTAGTATTGGTAGTAGTTTGGAGAAAGTCATTTTTGTCTCGGTATTTGGAAGTCAGTCAGATTAGCGGATGACCTCTTAACTATTTCATCATTCATAACGCATGTGTAGTTTCTCCGGTGCTCGAACTCTCTTCTACTCACCGTCCCTTTTCGTCCACCTCAGAGATGGGAGCTTATATCCTTTTGTCCCGGCTCCGAACATTTGTTTCGGCTAACATCATAAGTCTCTTTGTGCTAAGTTTTTGATTAAACGATTTTTTTTCGGCGTTCCTTTATTTGTCATTTGTTTTTTTCATATAGCGGAAGTTATGCGCTGAATCTCCGTCATTTTTCGTAGCTTTCAGTCACAAATTAGTTTACTCTGGTCCCGCAAACTCCCGGCTTCTTTCAACCGGGTTCAGTCTTATCTTCTTCTTCTTCTTCTTCGTATTTGAAGGTTGCTTTCTCGTTATGTGAGAATGAAGTTGTGGGGAAAATTGTGAAAATGTCCTACCTCGGAAACGCCTGCGAATCTGTGCGATGTGCAAACTCCGGTTTGCTCAACGGTGAAGGAACCAAAATGGCGGCGCCCATGTTTTATGCCAGGCGGTATCAGACAGTTAACGCGAAATCTCGTTGTCTCGTCATTCGCATGCAAATCGTGGTCTGTCCTCGGCCGTATAAAGCAGGCGCGTGTTTGTTTCTGATCACTGAGTTTTTTGCTCGTGAGAAGGTTGGACGTGTGACACTGTTTTTGTCGGTTACCCTCCTCGCAGTTTTTTTCCCCCTATCTGATACTATCAGTTGAGTCGTTGTGTTACCATCACAGAAGTATATAGAGAGAAGGAAAGAGAGAGAGAGAGAGAGAGAGAGAGAGAGAGAGAGAGAGAGAGAAGAAATAAAGAGACAAGAGTTTTAAAGGGAAGTACAAATGCCATATTTTCATTTGATTTCTTTGTATTTTTGTTTATGTATTTTATTATATTTTTATTGTGACTCGCCACAATTTCCTTTTTCTCACTTCTCACTTTTCGGTTTCTTGCAATCCTGACATCTACAATATTCAAAAATTTAAATGCGACTTCAATCGCTATCTTCTGTCTTCCTGGTTCCTTTTCATTCATTGTCCTTTCCCCTGATTAATGTCTTTTCGTTCTCTTTCATTCCAAGTAAACCCGTGCATAGCAATGCCATCATTGCATTAGTTGAGACGAAATAAACAAAAAAATATGTAGGGTTAGTATTCACACTAGTAAGGAATTTGATATAGACAAAGTATTAAATGCTAGAAAATTGTCTCCAGAGATGAATTTGTTGTAAGAAAAAAGAATAATGTGAGTGTGAGTGTATCATTAAAATTGAAAGCTCTAACAAGATCTCCTTGCTCTAAATGTTGAATAATTCCATTGAGAAGACATACGCAGGGTTTACGCCCCTTTCTATGTTTGTGTATTTACTGAATTCATTTTCAATCCGTAGTCAGGTGGCTTGCTCACGGTATGGTTTCAGTAGATACTCAAAAATGGAAAAGGTCGTACGACAAGCATGTCGTCACTCAAGGTTTATTCAACCATTACAACGAAGCAATTCTGAAAGAACTAGAAGTTCTATGATTTGGTAGCCACAGTCTTAATAGTACAAAATGTGCAAATGGCGCAGTATTAGTAGCAGACTAAAAAATCCACGTGAATTTAGTAATATGAAGTGAAGATGAAAAGACTTAAGCATCTATTTTAAGAGAGTAGAATATGTTTTTGTCAGCAAGAGGAACAGCTCAAGATATGAACCACGAATTGAAGATACCAAAATCAAGCAAAAACGAAAATCTTAATACCTGGAAATAATGTTTTTAACAGACTACTCCTAATGCGACACCGAAATCCGACGGAGTATCGGAATAGCGAAAATACCTCCCCAAAAACTGAAGAAAGTATTTTTATGATACAGAATGATGATGATATTTAATCATTCTAAAAACAACCTTTCATTTAGTGGTGAATGATGATAAGGATATTTCATCATCCTGGAAATAAAGATAAAAAAAATTCCATCGTCTAAAACAACCTGGCTACCAATGATGATATATTTCTTCATTCTAAAAATATGAAACTTAAAAATCATAAAAACAACCCTTCCATTACAAGAGCAGTAAGGTTAGGATAGTAGAGTAGAGTAGAGTAAGTAGAGTAGCAGTAGTAAAAAGAACAACACAGATGTATCTTCTTCGCTCCGTAAAAATTAACAGTTACCGGTCTGAAACGCGACACTTAACAATGAAATACTCGGAATAATCAAAAACAACAAACATAAATTTTTAAAGATCAAAAAGCCAATAACACTGAGAACATTTTAACACACACGATATCAATATTGTAATATTAATATCAAGAAAAATATATTCATTCTTGTCATTAATTTCAGCACATGTCTCAAAATCATTGTTGTTACTGTTGTACGTTTTATTCATATATCATATTCAGTATTAAAAAAAAAAGAGAAAATGTATCCTCTATCAACTACAAATACATATAAAAACGGGATAACTTACATTTTACACACCTCAACATCCACTGCTTTACGGAGGCTTCACTAAATTTATTAGGATTTCAAACCGATTCACAAGGAATTACACCTTCCATTAATAAAATAAAAGAAATAGAATCTTTTTCCTACCCCAAGGGTGCAAAAAGCCTACCCAGAATCCTGGGTATAGTTGGATTCTATTGATAACTAATACTAAAATTTGCCGAACTAGACTGTTAGAAACAAAAAAAAATGAGTGTTGAACTATTAATTAACATCAGTTCTTCTTTGATGGTATTGAATGCTGGACAATGTCATTAGAGATGAAGAAGACACTTCAGTCACTAGAGAAGTGGTTCAACAGGAGGATAGTGAAAATGCCATTCACTGAATATGTGAGAGAAACAAGTTTTGACGAAGACAGAAAGAAAAAGAGACACTTATTAGAACCAGAAATAGGCAGTTGATGTTTTTACAATATATAATGTATAAAGTGGTTTCAGAGAATTTAATACCCATAGAATATATCGCAGACAAGTGCAGAGGGAATGGCAAGATACCTACCTAACAAGCTTGTGTAAATGGATGGAAGAACAATGAAGGGATATTTATAGATAGTTGGGATGATCCTGACTTTGGGTAGTAGCACCTGTTAGGGGTCCTAGCTATGGACAAATAGTGAACCACAAAAGCAAAACGCTATGAAAGTAGAAAAATACATTGTTATAGTAAAATTACCAGAAATAAAGTTTTATATAGTGAAAACCCCAACAATACATTTTAAAGTAAAATGGCCGGCAATACATTTAATCTGTAATCGAAGACACACAACTACGTTCAGAATATATTTAGTTCAAGCTTATATAATCGTGTTCAAAATATTTAAATTTTAGCACCAATAAACCATAGAGTTTGATATACCACTAAACTAAATGAAACAGCCAGCGTAAAAAAAAACTTATTCATGGCGTAAGTCCATACAATATCCCATAAATTCTTAAACAATTCAAACTGCATTTCAAAATATCACTTAAAAAAACTGCAACACACAAAAAAAAAAAAACATACCACCGCCTCTAGTAATTATGTCCACTCAAACATATATATCTACACAAAAGCTGATAGTGTTGTAACATAGAAAGGGTTACTAAATGAGGAATAACCAAAACGGAGGTTGGAAATGATATGGTAATCTTTATAGCATCAACAAAATACAATACTCTCCAGCGGCGTGAAGTAGGGAAACCACTGCTAGCGGTGGACTACTTAGACAGCATATTACTCCCACTTACAATAGTGTCGAACATATTTATGAGGATTGGAAGATACCCATTAATGTTGATACGCACGATATATAACAGATATATATTATGAAAGGGAATTATGAGATGTTACCGAGAGTCTTAGAAAATGAGCACGCGATTTAGAAAGATGGAGATAGAGATGCGTTATGTGTTTGAAATAGAAAGATTAGAAGAGAAATCCAGGTATTTGACTGCGGGAACGATTCTTGAGAGACGTGAGCATGTAGAAAAGTGTCAATAATTATTGTTTGACGCCTTTTGCACATACTGAGAGAGATGATTACACTAAGGAAGCTCCGTTACTTCGGGCATATTAGGCTGCTTTCTGTTGAACCCAGTGGCGGGCAAAGGGCACCAGATACAACCACCCATGTTTTGGCTTGAGAATTTTAAAAGGTCGACTGGAATGATGGTGGCTGAGGCTGTAAGGGTAGCTCCAGACAGAGCGGGGTAGAGAGAGAGAGAGAGAGAGAGAGAGAAAGACAGACAGACAGACAGAGAGAGACAGAGAGAGAGAGAGATGGGTATAAGTGGTGACCCCAACGCGTAAAATGCGCTAACCGAATAAATCATGATGATTGTTCCGGTTACCACCAATTTAAATAGCAGTCCAAGCTGTGGCGTAGAAAGTCGTGGGACCTTAGACCAGTTGGTAAAATGAGGAGAGAGAGAGAGAGAGAGAGAGAGAGAGAGTAAAATAGAAAGATATAAAAAATAGGGAGGGGTAGAAAGTAAGAAAAAAATAGAAAAAGAGAAGAGGAAGAGAAAAAATACATATTTACAAAGAAAGAGAAATAAAGGATAAGAAAGAAAAGGAGAAAACGTATAGACGGACGGAGAGAGAAAGAGAAGAAAATATGAAGAAAAAGAGAGCTAAATCCTAAAAAGAGAAATAGAAACGAAAAGTTTGGATGTGAGTGAAAGCAACGAGAAAGAGAAATAGAGAAAGAGACGGAGAGAAAAAGAGAGAGACAGAATGGAGACTGAAAAGCTCTCTTACGACTGTGACAACGGTATATTGTTAACTTCGGTTGGAGGAGGAAGCATGAGCTATTGAATGAAGAGCGAGACTCGATGAAGTCTTCGCGCGAGATTTTAAGTCTCGCCGCGCCCGTTGCTTATTCAAACGCGGCGCCCCGTCGATAAGGAACGGTTCGAATTCTTAGAACTCTTATCTTTGCATGATGGATTCATCCGAACGATTTTTTTTTCCTTTAAAAAAAAAAAAAAAATCAATGATAGCTTTTTTTATTGAATGTTTTCATTGGCGCGCAGTGAAAGTAAATAGGTTCTCAGTGTTGGGCAATGTCGGGCGTGGTGCGGTTCGGTAAGAGTTAGAAAAAGATTTTTTTTTTGAAGATCTTTCTATCTTTCCTTCTCTTTTTCTTTCATCCTCTCTCACACGCAATAACTGATGAGAAATAGCAAAAATCTTGCATTGGGTCATGTTGACCTGACCTTTAGACTTGAATTCTAAATCACGTGATATAATCATATCTTTTCTTGACATGAATATGTTTTTTTTTCTTTTTCTATCTCTTCCTCTTTCTTTCTTTCTTTTTTTTCCCCCTCTTTCTTTCTCCCAGCCCTTTACTCTCGCCTTTTCCACCTCGTTGCTTTCCTATTCTCGGTTTATCCCCCTCTCTTTTCAGTGAGCTTAAAGTAAACTTTGAGAAATTTATTGTTAAGATAGCCAACGTTTATACAGTTATATAGACACGTCGCATGTAAGTGTGGACGCACAACGAAAAACTCGAAAATAGAGATCAAGATGGCCGTCGGTGTATCTGGAAACGCGCACGACAGTCTGGGAAGATTTATACATTAGTAAATCGTGTATGTAAATCTTAAAACCATAAATAAGTCACTGTCATTGAAAACTCAAGCACTCACATGTAAAATATTTGGGGGCTTTGGGATGCAAATGAATTATCCTATTCGGCAAGGAGCCCGTGTTGCTATGAGTAAAGAAAATTATGACTATTCAGGGTGAAAGATTAAATGGTAAATAGAGACATTTAATTTTCACGAGAACTGTTGAAAATAACAGTAGTGCCGATAATCATAGTTTAAAAGAATACCTGGAAGAAGTCTAAAAGGAAGGAAGAACTTGAATAATTCCGACCACAATTGTGTTGAAGTTGCCGAGAAATTTGAAATGAAAACAAAACGGTTATTTATACTTAGAATCAGAAAGCGTGCTTAGAGACTTTGAAACTCACGCTACATATTAAAGGCAAGACAATCAAAGGGAAACAGCGAATGACCTACCGACGAAGAACAGGAAGTCGTGAAGAGCCATGATTTACCGGGTTCTGGTGTGGGAGGGGAACGACACATAAAAGAATAATAATTTCAGGCAACTGGTCACCAGACCTTGAACTTCCCTCAGCAGATCGCTTGAATGTAAAGAATATAACACGCTCGGATTGAGGAATTGGAGTTCGAATTCCAGTCGGGTTCATTATATTAACTTACGTATTAATAGCTTTGGGAAAGATATGAATCCATTTCGTCTCTCCCAGCTATGGGTAAATAGCAGGACACACGGGGTTCTATAGCCTTGGATGGCAAGGAGGAGGGCAAAATCTGAATTCAAAACTTTACGTACATGGCGAAGCACATAGTATGCAGCTAAGGAAAGAGTCGTTCATATTGATTCGATGTTACCAACTACTATCGACTTCTTTTCTTTTTCAAATATTGTTTATACTCTCCATATAAATGAGAGAATCTGCATTTATATTGTTTTTTTTATATTTGCAAACGTTTCTTGTAAAAGCTTCTCTGCATGCCGCAATATATGTGCTTATAGCATATCGATTACTGATGGCGATATATGATTTTGCATTTCGAATTCATATTCAAGACGAGGCCGCCTGGAGATCTATAGCTGAGAGCTAATATACAGAACTCTCTAACTTCGGCTGCTAATCAGATTCGGACAGGGTAGACCCTGAATTAAAAACCACTAAGGCTAGCAACTCTACTTCGTTAAAATTTGCTGGTTATGGAAACTACGGTTAGCCGTATAATACTGCTTTCTAAGATCAATGGTGTCATATAGGAATAAAGTGTCGCTGCCGACACTTGAGTTTGAACATAGATCGCCAGTGAGCAAACCCAGGCGACCCCATTATCGAATTAAGTAGACCACGTGACCATAGATGAAAGACATCTATGTAGGAATTCGCGGGACGTCTAATTGATCTGCATTCCTACTGTTACAATACGGACCACTATTCTCTATATTCACTATACTATTTCTCTATTCGGATCTCTATGTGGATTACTAGTCGAGCGAGTATTATCGAGCAAGTATTATTAGTGCGCGTATTATACAAAGGTGTCTGACACCAGCATTGTTCAACGCCTTTACTACAGTTGTATCTGCGATTAAAAGTCTCTATTACAACGAGCATTATGAAAGTGACAACGAGTATTCGTTCACATTACGAGTGTGGCAACGATTGTTCGTTGGTATCAGCACAAATAGTTAAAAATAACATTCGAGCGAGTGAATCACATGTCTCTTAACGAAGACAAGCGTTCATCGAACGTTGTTGATTGGCGCTACAGAAGCAGAAAGAAGAATAGCTGCTAAAATACACCATATCACTTGAGGACTACCAACAGCAGCAACAATTAAAATAGCTATCACATGTAACCCGAAAAGATAATAAAGACAAAATCAAGATGCTGATATTCCACACTAGATAAAAAGGTTAGAAGGGGACCCACCATCAGTACTGGAAAGAGTGATAACAGCTACTGGACTTGAGAAACTGTTATGGAAATTTACCCATAATAACATAATGGACTATTCCATACGTAATAAATACTGCGCCTCAAGAGGAAGCAGAGAGTTCAGTCCGAAGTCGGACGACCGTCTGATCGGTTGAACTCTCTGCCTTCGGGCGGGGAGGAACCCGAACGAGGCTATGCCGAAGGGCGGAGTCTCTTTCAGGGAGGTAAACCGACCCTGTAACCGTTTATACGGGTTCAAAGGGTATACTTTTGGTCGATCCCACGGGCTCGGAGATCCCACGTTAAACCGGCCTTGTGTCACATGATGCCCTCGTGGTGGGGGTGACTAAATACTGTTCAGTCTTAAGTCTGGAGTGAGGTCCGTCAGAAGTCCGTCAGGAGTCTGTCAGGCAGTCAGAGCGAGCGAGTCAGTCAGTCGAGTCAGAGGCAGTCCGAAACAGAGTCGCGTTCAGACAATTACTACAAGACATTGTAATATTGATACTGGTCGAGACTACATTGTACTCCGTACTAAACCTGATTGTTCGTACTAACACTTTCTACTTCTCTGTATATAATCCTGTTTGAAATATACCTGTGTTATTCCATACCTGTGTTCGAGTTCTTTTTTATTGGTTCTACCTTGGACTATCACCGTGGTACAAGGAACCGGACCATAACAGAAACATATTTTCCTGAATAACTCTTTTAAGAGAAAGTTTTTTATAAATTCAACCGACAGCAACAATGTCTATTTGGTTAATGAATTCCAAATGTTTCCTAATGAGGAAACGGCTAAGAATAGTACATTAGATCAGCAAAACATAGCGTAATGAGGTTGTAGCTCAAAACTTTACAGGGTACTTTACAGGATAAACATACAACCTACATATCTATCTTTCTGTTATATAGGAATAGTGTAGCTGCCGACAATTGAGTTTGAACATAAACTGCCAGTGATCAAACACGGGCGATCCCATTTTGAATAAGTAGACCACGTGATCACAGAGGAGATGCATGACTGGGAATTGTCTAATTGATCGCTATTTCTATTCTATACTCTGTTACTATACAGACCGCTATTTTCTACACCATTCACTATACTATTTCTATATACGGATCACTATAAGGTGGTTACTATTCCAGCGAATATTATCGAGCAAGTATCATTAGTGCGCGTGCGTCTGACACCAGCATTGTTCAGTGCTATAGTTGTATCCACGATTACAAAGTCTCTAGTACAACGAGCATTACTAAAGTGACAACGCGTATTCGTTGACATTACAAAAGTGGCACCGAGTGTTCGTTGACATCTCAAAACTTTCATTATTTGTAAATCAGTCAATATATAATGAACATTTTCGATTTGTATTTCTTTCATCTTAATTTCATTTTTACTTTCATCGCATTTACTCAGACCATCATTCTTTGGCCACAAACATGCCATCGCGTATCGGGAATAACGAAATACGTTCTATCCAAGGCACAAACTCATGTACTTGTTACATGTAGAAACCACTCTTACTTGCATCTTGGCTTTTGTCGACGGGGCGTGGAGAACTGCTAGATTAACAAGGAAGAAAACTAGCCAGATACACTCACTCTCTCGGTGCCATATTTGTTATTAATGATTTTACTTAAGGAAGTCTTAAAGAAAACGGCAGCAGAAAGAACGCGTATACACAGAATCAGGATAAGACAGATGAAATTCTGTGGACACGTAATGAGGAAGGATAGTTTGGAAAACTTAACACACATTGGGCATTTTGAGGGCAAAAGAGATAGCGGAAGGCAGTGAGTCATTTAGCTGATGGTCTTGTGTGAATGGATACCGGAATTAGAGGGTTGAGAGTATTATCAAAGAGAGAAAAATTGCTACGAGCCACAAAAGGTAGGAAGTTAGGGAGAGGGATGATCAGCTGTATTTATAAGGTACGTAGCTCATAAAAGTAAAAAACAATATTACACATACACACACACACACACACATATATATATATATATATCTTGCTGTTCTTTCTTTTTATTTATATACATATATATATATATATATATATTTATTTATATATATATGAAATTTAATATAGTGCAATACAATAGAAAACCCTTTTCATTTACCGTAAGTCTGATGAGTGCATAATGCAGGAAACATATATATATATATATATATATATATATATATATATATATATAAAAGTAGAAAACGGCATTAATACAAAAAGAATTGATCGATGTAACCGTCAGAAAACGAAACTACAATCAATTTTACATACGTACTTCCTCCAACCAACACCTGCCATAGTAAAAAATATATATCTCAGCCATAGATCGCCCAACGTGTCGTCAAACGAATATGGAATTTTATTAAAAGACAATGACTTTACGGCCAAATCTACATTTACACGTAACGGAACAAAAGAATTCAAACAGAAACCCAATCCAAAAAGAATCATTATATGGTTCAACGCACTCTAAAATATTTATCAGTCTCATCGAAAAACACTTCCTATGATAAAACAATATGCAAAAGATATTCAACAGAAATAGTATAGCCTTTGTCATAAAACACACGAAAATACTCTACAACACATAAAAAAAATCACGTGAAAAATCCTCAAACAAACAGCACACGTATAACTCCAGAAAAATAAGAATGCCCACTAAATGGTAACTACGTACAAAATAAAATAATATACAAAGTTACGGTAAAATTCAAAGGGAATCTCAGATAGATACGTATAGGAATAACAGGTGATCGATACCTCGAAACAAATAATTTACTCGCAAAAGATGTCTAAGAACAAGAATATGGTAACAGTCCGACCCTCTCAAGGAGGCTATGGCAACTCAAAAATACGAATCAAGATAGATGAAAAATAACGTGGAAAATAAGAGCAACAACTCAAAACACTGTAATCTATAACTCGATAAGATAGTCATATTCACCTGTCAAGAAAACGATAAAGACCTAAAGAAAATATGAGGTTAGTGCGAAAATACATATTATCTTACCAGAGTCAAATAATTAGAAAAATGTCTAAATAATAGCTATCTTATATCAAACTTTATTTGAATCTTTCGTGTATCTAAAAACAAGAAACATTGAACAAAAGAAAAAATATACGAAAGAAAATATATAGAACTAATAAATAAATAAATATATAAAACATATGGAGGACTAAAATAATAAATATATAAATAACATAAAAAAGCAAGACCATAACTGAACCTAAGCATTACACTTAGGCTAAAGATTTGGGAATGGTAGATTACCTTCTACATGAACTTCCCTTAATCCCCATTGATTTATATATAGAACTTTATATATATATATATATATATATATATATATATATATATATATATAAAATTGAAGAATAAAGTTAACAAGTGCTAACAGTTTATTTCAAGCTTGAACGAAATTGATATTTACATACGCTCTGACTCTAATTAACTTTATATACATACACACACACACACATGCACACACATACACACACACACGAACACACCCACACACCCACACCCACACACACACACACACACACACATATATATATATATATTTACTAACGTCTGATTAGATATGTTAAGACGCATCGAAACATGATTGCATTTGTGTAGCATTTTTTACATGTTTTGGATATAATATCAAAAATTAAGAATATATATATATATATATATATATATATATATATATATATATATATATATATATCATAAATCATAAATCTATCTATCTATCTATCTATCTATCTATCTATCTATCTATCTATCTATGTCTGTATGTGTCTTTCTCTTTCTCTCACTCTGTCACGATCTCTCGCTCTCTGTGTCTGTATATATATATATATATATATATATATATATATATATATATATATATATATATATATATATAAATATATACACATATATATATATATATATATGATTTAAGTTTGGTTTATAATCCGGTGGAATGAGAAATCATGATTTTTTTTTACTCTTTTCATTTTTATGTATATATATATATATATATATATATATATATATATATATATATATATTATCTTGAGATGTAAAAATTATAAAATGTTGCCAGAACGCTATAACTGATTCATGATTCATTTTAAAATCTTTCCATTTTAAAACAGAATTTTAAGCCCAGCGGGAGTTTTTTTTTCCGCAAGATTTAAAGTCGTTTAATTCTCCAAGAAATTATATTTAAATACACGTAAAGACTTATTGCAATCAAACGACATTTAGCTGAGACTTCACTTGGAGGTATTTACCTTAATTTATAAAAAAAATCCGCTATATTTTTCTATTAGCAAATATTTTAATAAATAAATTCAGACGTCGATAAAAGAAAAACAGATGTTTATCAAATTTCAGTGATTTTAATTTCTGTCTACTAGTGTTTTTGTCAGATGTTCAAATTTTAATGTTGCTGAGTTTTCAGAATTAAATTTTGGCAAATGAGAAATATGTGGAAAAATAAAAAAAAAATACATATTTCATTATTTCTAATGGGCAAAATTAATTTTATATCATATTATTTACGAAACCGTTTCTCTTCCTTCTGGTTGAATATTTATATAAATTGTATTAACTTTCATCATCATAATCATTATCATCTTCAATCTTCAACGGAGCCTAAGGGTCGTAGAAACAGACAACATCCTCCAGGATGATCAGTTGGCGATGGCTTTCAAGATTTCCGGCATTGTCATGTCCGTTCACTATTTCATGTTGTCTGTCTAGAACTAGCGTTGCTATCCCCGCTTGCGTTCATCTTCAACAGTACCTTACATGACGATATTGTATAGACTTTTATAATGTGTTGGCAAACCATGTCATCTCCCGACGCTTAATAGTAGCAAGAAAAGATTCATATTGGCCCACGAAAATTGTCTTTGATCTGCACAAAGTTATTGGTTTCGCATTTCCAGTAGGAGATGCAGACGAACTTTCTTAAGCAATTGTTCTTGAACGTCTGGATTCTTTTTCCAGTGTCAACCAAGAGGGTCCAGGTCTCACACACGTAGAAGTGGATGGATGCGACTAGCGATTTAATGAGTTGGAACTTTGTTTCTGGAAGCTGATGTTGCTCTTCCATATCCTTTCCTGTCTGAACATCGTTGCTGTGTGTGTGATGATCTATGTTCGGATTTCTGCATTGTTTATGCCATCTTTTAACAGGAATGCTCTCAACTATTTCAAGCTGGACACTTCCTCCAGTGATACGCCGTCCATGGTGACGTTGGTACTGGTGAAACTTGAGCTATTCACCATTACTTTGCCTACGATGTGTTGATTTACATTCCATATTTATCTTTCAATGAGTCTGGTGTTATATATATATATATATATATATATATATATATATATATATATATATATATTAAATTAAAAAAGCATAGATCCATCCAACTTCTTATCTCAAATAACAAATTAAAGTGTCTGTTTGACCAACACAAGTAATGTTAAAAGATTCATGTTATAAAGATAAAAAAAATAAAAAAACAAACAAACAAATGAAAAGTACAGACAAAAGTTCATTTTCTCCATCAAGATATTCATTTCTGTAGTTTCCTGCTACCAGCAAACAGAAATATTTTTTCTCCTGATGATGGCCATTTTGGCCGAAACTAGTCAAGGAATCTAAATGAAATAATAATAAAAAAAAACGGAAGAATATTAATCTACAACCCAGTGTGTAGAAGATTTTAATTTTTAATATTTTTTATTGTTGTTATATATATATATATATATATATATATATATATATATATATATATATATATAAGGCACGGTTCAAATTTCAGTCGAATCCATTACATTGACTTACGTGCTAATATCCTTGGGAAATGTATTAATCCTCTTCTTCTTCCTCAAGCTATTGTTTAATAGTAGGACAGACTGTGTTTTATAGACTTGGCTGGAAACTGGTCTAGAAGAAGAACAACTCTGAATTCGAAACCCGCGGAGGGCCGTTTTTGGCAAAAGGCTTGTGTTATGTATGTATCTAGGATTATAGGGATGTTTTATTTTCCAAACACAGTCAGCACATTGTGGCTGTGTTCATAGATAATGTAATTGATTGTTGTCCTTTTCTTTTTTATTATTAGGTCTTCCATTATTTTTAAATTTTTTACATGTGGATGAGATTATTATTCTTGCATTTTCTACTAGTATGTTCCGGATGGAGTCTAGTAGTGTTTTGTGTGTGTTTAAATGAGTTCTAATGGAGCTCTGTTAGGATAGGTGTAACGTAAGTCGTCTAGATAGGCATGTAGTAGTGTGTCCGATATAATTATTTATGAGTTTGATGTGTAAGTTCGTTAAGGGTTATTTGAACTCGTAAGTAATATTTGCTCATTGTAGTCTTGATTTTGCAAAGGTGTTGTTATTTTTATGATAAGGTTAGCTTTTTAAAATTTTTTTGTAACAGATGATGTTCTTTTTCGAGGCGACTACGGTAGTATATTTCTTTATGATATTTCTAAGTGAAGAATCATCATGCTTATAATACACATCAACTATAAGCAAACACATGAATTATTACATCGGTCACACTACTACATGATGTGCCGAAAAAGACCAATCAACAGTGACCTGACCTGTCCATCGAGTTGTCTTCTTGTAGAATGAACGCACGGCCGACATGATGGACACGAGAAAATGGGGAAAACACTCAGAAGTCTCATCACAGCACCAACCCCAAAGCAAACTTTTCCCTGCTGCCATTGTAGCCTCTTCTGAATTCAACTACACAGCTACTCGTGAGCTTAGCGCAGATATGGACAGATCCCTTATATATATATATATATATATATATATATATATATATATATATATATATATATATATATATATATATATATATATAGTTTAAGAAAAATTTAAGTAGAATATATTACCTATCGAGAAACAGTCACGAGTTAAATTCATGAACAAAATTCAAATGGATAGAGATGTCAACTTAATAATCAATAATAAAATTTTTTAAACAGATTAAAAAAAAGATTACTAGAAGTAAACTTATATTTTAAAATACAATTTTATTCTTTTAATGTACTTTCTATGAATATTTTTCTAATCGACTATTTCATAGAAAATCCCCCAAATTTTAAAAAAAATTAAATCACTAACAAACATCAAATTAAATTATTTGTAGACAGTTTAGAGACATTCAAATTTATATCAAACATTATAATCTTTGTGAACCCCCAAAATAACACTTTCAAAGTAACAAAAATAACAGCGTCAGTTTCCAATCTTTTTTTACAAAGAAAATTAGTGACAACTTCTCTCATAACTTCCTTCTCTCTTTTTCTGTCTATGGGTTTTTTCTTCTCTACCCCTTCGATATCAATATATAACTTCCGTTAAGTTAACCGTTTAAGTGTGTCAATATCTGCTAACTCACTCATGTCTTCTCTTTCCCCCTTACTTCCTCACTTCGTTAATTTACATATGTTTAATACGGCCCGTCAAAAATGTGTAAACTGGAAACTAACTAGAGAATGACCGCCAACATTAGCCTTGAAATAGATACCCTACCCAACCTGAGCAAAACCTCTCAGAAGATGGTGAATCTATAGATAAGAATTAACTCTCTGACCACTTAACCAAGATGACTCGCCCAGCCACTCCCACAATAACGAATGTTATAACGAACCATGCTTAAAAACACACGTAAACCAAGAGATAGCTTATTCCTAAAATTTCGCTTGAAGATGAAACGGGACTAAACACCTCAATTCAACTTAATTTTAACAATTATTTGGATGGTTTCGGCTCTCGTTTTTGAAACATGAAAACTCTTATGTAGCGAAGGAATCATATTTTTAAACAAAAAAATATTATTATAATAAAGCTCTACTTTTGTATGGAGCACTGTCTTCTTAAAAATAAAAACAAAAATACTAACTCCGGATTATGCACCCAACGTGTTCTTTTCTATTTTCTGCATACCTGAGCACTTATACATATATATATATATATATATATATATATATATATATATGTGTGTGTGTGTGTGTGTGTGTGTGTGTGTGTGTGTGTGTGTGTGTGTGTATTTAGGCATATATTGTGTATTTTTAGCAATCTTTCTTTCATGCTTATTTCATTTAATACGACAGACAAGATGATTTGATTTAATTTTTTATACAATTTCTCATGTGATCTAATAATTTTTTCCTTTCAGATGATGAATTATATAAAAACTCTCCGAATGTTCGTTTTTTCCGAGCGCTTTCGGCTATACATTTAACCATTTTCAAGGTTGAGATATATTAACTGTTAATAAGAAATAGTTTGTTGCGGGTAAGTATTTATATAATGATTTCTTTTTCAAAATATAGTCAAGATATTCTGTCCATATTCACAGTTGATATTATTGAGTGAAGTTTTTTATTTTATTTTATTAAAAAAAGCTTCTATCATTTTTAGCTTTTTTGAATGTAGATGATGCTATTATAACTGTGATGTCAACAAGTATGTTGAGAATAGTGTCCGGTAGGTCTCCATGAATATTTAAATGAGATCTAATTGAGCTATGGTCAGAAAGGTGTAGAGTGAATCTGCATGTCAAACATGTTGTAGTTTAGCCTATATAATTAATTACGATTTTGATTGATCAGGAATACAATCACTTAATGTACATAAATAAATAATATTTGTTGTATTTAACTTTGTTTTAAGAAATTACTTATTATTTTTACCTATAAGGTTAGAGCTTTTAAATTTTTTTGTAATAAATAATGAATCTAATGTTTTTGCTATTGTCAACTAGTGTTATGCATAATATAATTAATAATAATTAATTTTATAATGTTCTTAATTCTACTTTAGTCTTGTTTATAATTTTCATTCATTTGATTTTTATAAAATATATTAATGTTATTGTTTATTTTTCTATTCTCGTCGTTGCTATTAGCTACCTTAGACAGAAAATGCCTAATATGGAAATCCATTAATTAGGAAATCCGTTATTAATAATAATAATAATAATAATAATAATAATAATAATATATATATATATATATATATATATATATATATATATATATATATATATATATATATATGGTGGTACTCGTTTGGAAAAACCTTGGAAAGTTCAACTTGCAGTAGAACAAATCGGTACCCGAGGAAAAATTAGTAATGAAAAAAAGAAAGAACTGAGAATATTAAAATAAAGCGAAAACAATCGTCCAGTGTTTAAGTTCCAAGTCCAAAGAATAAACCCCCCTCAAAAACGAGTAAAAAGACAACTACGTAAAGTGCTCAATACACTAAGTAGAGGAAAACCTAAGATAGGCAAACCTACCTAGGTTACACCTAAATGGGTCGTCAGGGTATATATATATATATATATATATATATATATATATATATATATATATATATATATATATATATAATAAATCGAATGAAAGTATTTGGTTACCTAGTAGAATGAGAAAGAAACTTACTAACATTTATTTAATTTTTTTGCCCTGTTCTTATATTGCGACATTCTTGTGTTAACCTGGAGCAGCTCTGCTTAACTATGAATAATAATAAGGCACGATGTATTCATGCTTCAAAGACCACTTGCGTTTGGGATTCTTCGCCTTTTGTGGCATCTGGGGCATCTTCATCACCAACAACAACATGTAATGTCGGAGGGTCGCTTCGTATTTGAACACGGAACTAGAAAATTCCACATTTCCTCGTCTTTCACCATTAAGCCCGGAGGGACTCATTAGGGCCGGCGACGTATTGAACTGTCCACCATTCTTCTTCATCTGTCGCAGTTGTATGCCTGAGACCTGGTCTCCGCGAATCGTTTCTTTGTGTGCTCATCATGCGGCATGCCTTGCACGTTTTACCCTGGCGTAGCCCATCTTTTTCCAGGTAAGGCCACAGCGAGTGTTCTCCAACTCGGTGGCTCAGCTTGGTCGCGAACAAGTGTCCGTTGTAGTTCATACGAGGGACCCTTCCGCCCTGGCCGGTGACCTGCGTAAACAAGTGACGCCGTGTTAACATCATCGCTCATTTGAGTTTAACCCGTCAGCTGAAACGGTTTACCGAGGAATGGCAAGTAGGAGCCATCACTTGAAAGATTTAGATGGTTGAGGAACAGTGATGCCCGTTCACCCGGAGGTGCTACCTCTATCCAGAGCCGTCTATGCCTACATATATCTAATCAACACTGATAATTTCAAATATCTAGGTTAAATTCATGTAAGGTATTCATTTATGCGTCGGTCTTTGCTAAGTAGACTTACCTGAGAGCATCCAGATTCAGTTCAAATCACAGCCGATGTCCTCTAACCTGAGCTTTTCCTGGTTATGGACACGTATCCATTGATCCCATCGAGGGTGGGGAACCCTTTGTCTAGTCAGTTGACTTCAGTCTAGGACGCTCTCTGCCCAGTGATGACGTGTCGTCATTTCAATAGCTACACCCATCGCTATAAAGCACAGACTAGACGGCCGTTGACCCCAAAAGAAAGTTCAACCGCACTCTCACAGGCATTATTTTCAATCCTGCTGGGTATCTAGTCACCCTCCTATCCAGAAAATTCTGGTGATGGGTCCAGTTTAGTGTTATGGTCCGGTTCCTTGTACCACGGTGATAGTCCAAGGTAGAACCAATAAAGAAGAACTCGAATACGGATATGGAATAACACAGATATATTACAAACAGGAATATATACAGAGAAGTAGAAAGTGTTAGTACGAACAATCAGGTTTAGTAGTAATTGTTTGAAAGCGACTCTGTTCCGGACTGCCTCTGACTCGTCTAACTGACTCGCTCGCTCTGATGGACTGACAGACTCCTAACGGACCTCACTCCAGACTTCAGACTGAACTCTCTGCTTCCTCTTGAGGCGCAGTATTTATTATGTATGGGATAGTCCATTATGTTATTATGGGTAAGGTCCCATAATATTTACTTACTGATGACACGGCGAAGTGGCAGGTAGTTACATGGCACCAATAGTCATTGATTTATTCGTTTCACGGCATATCAACTCCCTATGGGTCGATTAAAACCGAAATTTAATTTTATTGGAATTTGATTTTATTGAAATAAATTGAAGTAATAAAAATAGAATATATATTATCCTGCTGTCATAATTGATACCCGTTTTTTTTTGCATTTGTGTAGACATAATTACTAAATAAAGATTAATAAAAGTGGCTATTATCTTCTGGGCTATCTCGGATCAGGTGATGAAATCCATTTACTCACGTGTAGCAGGATCTAAAGAAAGATATGAGAGATACAGAAATAAAACTATAATCAACTCATATAAATTGTTCCAGTTATTAAAATAATCGATATCAGAAGATGACCTTATGTAATGTCGCAGAAGCATCGATTCTATAACATCTGCAAGAATAAAAGAAAATGAAAATATTTGGAATAAATCTAATAAGTTCCAGTGATTTCTCTCGTGTAGAAGGTGCGATGGGTAAATTGTAGTCATATTATAGTTTTAATTTCGTGTATGCGCGTTCTTTTTTTTAATTTTCTCGACTGTACAGTATAGTAGGGTCAGTTGGGCACCATCTGTGAGAAAACGAGCACCATGACGCAATTCACTCCACCAGAAATTTGGAAAGGTCATGCTGTACTGCTTGGCATTCGCGCTGGAAGCTCCAATACG